GAGTGCCAACTTGGGGACGGTAGGGAAGGAGGCAGGGGACAAGTAAGCTGAGCCTGACGGTGCTGTTCGAGTGCCAACTTGGGGACGGTTGCCAGCAGTGATGGCAAACCTCTAAAACTTTTTATTTTATTTTTGGGTACTGAGGATCAAACTCGGGCCTTGCACTTTCGAGGTAGCTAAACATGTAGAACATTTAACAACAGGCAGCTAGCTAGGATGGCACATGCACCATAGGTTTTCCACCTCTGGTCTCTGGTCCCCGAGACTTATCTTCAGGCCCTTCCTGGTTCTCACGTTTATGTCATCTGTTGGTTGAGGACAAGAAACACACACTTATCCTATTCCAGATGACACACGAGAGACAGTTCATCCTCAGAGAATCACGTTGAGATCCAGTAGCTCTGGAACCAGGATGGCCTTAAACCAAGCTGATAAAATTTAATAGGGCACATTCTACCCTGAAGTTGAGTGAACTCTGCCTCTAAGCTTGGAGTGTAGTGCCATCGACTGTCATCTCTGTCCTTCAGGATATGGACACCATCATTCGGATGGTCTGGTGGTCTGGAAGAGAGGGCTGAGCTGCCCCTAGAGTGTTCCTCCCGAGCCCAGATCTCACTCCTGCTCTTGCTGGGAGTGACCTGAAGGGGACTCAAGCTGAAGGGGAGGGGAGGCAATGAGCTTCTACTGGTCACCACTGTGTCAGGTCTTTAACCTACATTAACTTTTTGTGTGTGTGTGGTACTGGGAATCGGACTCAGGACCTTGCACTTGCGAGGCAGGTACAGCACCACTGAGCTAAATCCCTGGCTCATCCTACATTAACTTTTGATCCTCACCACATCCCTGGACACAGTCATCCTGTCTCAGTGATTCTTTTTTTCTTCCTTCCTGGATCTCACCTGGGAAGATGAAGGAACCCGGCTGCCTGATGTCTTCACTCTGCCATACAGGGCACTAAACTTGTTTCCAAATACTAGTCCCTGGACAAGCTGCACTAGGCTCGCTTTTGGAGCTTCAAAATCATGATTGTGGGGTCTCTTGTAGATGTCAAAATGGTAAAGGTGGGGATGGGGACTGGACGTGTGATTGTTTTTAACTTTCTAGGGAATTCTAATCAACAGTCTGTCTGAGAACCACTAGAACTGACGATTGTTCAATCTGTCAGAGCTAAGAGGCCGAGGTTTCTCCGGGGGTTTTGATCCTGCAGGTGAGGGCCTGGGGCCCAGGCTTTTTGCCTCAAGTCTGTGTGGGGCAGCAGTGAGGCAGGCAACAGGATCAAGGCATGGCCCAGGCTCCTTTCTCTGTCTTGGCTGGAAGACTTCATAGTGGGGTGTCATCTGGAAAGGCCTGGCTCTGCAGGGCAAGCTCAGTGGCCTCTGCCTGGCCTTCCTCCTGTCCTAGTGGTTGAGGATCAGGGCTTGCTGACCTGACCTCTGCTTCCTCTCCCCAGGGAAGGGTGATCTGATTGGCTGTGAGCTTCCCCGACGGGAGCAGGTGGTAAAGGCCAACGCCGACGTGAAAGGGCTGACTTACTGCGTCCTACAGTGTCTGCAGCTGGCCGGCCTGCATGAGAGCCTTGCACTGTACCCTGAATTTGCCCCTCGCTTCAGCCGTGGCCTACGAGGGGAGCTCAGTTATAACCTGGGTGCTGGGGGATGCCCTGCGGAGGTGAGGGTGCCTGATGAGGTGGGCAGGGGTTGGGGTTGGTGGAGTGCTGGGGAGGCATGGCCCGATGTGAAAGCCCCTCATACACACAGGGCAGGGGCCCACATTCTCCCTGGATTTTCATGTCCACACACTGAGAAGCCAGCCTGGCCATAGCCACCCCTCTCAGCCTGTCTGGGACACCCTGGGCCCATCCAGAGCAAAGTCTTAGGTGAAGGATGCTGAGTGTGCTGCTATCAGCTGATCGTCATGGGCTGCAGGGGGGCGGTGGGCAGTGCAGGGCAGGGGCAGGCACCAGCCTTCTAGGGTGCTTCTTAAGGGCTTGGCACTCCCCTACTGCTATGGCAAAACAAGCCGGTCTGAGGAGCTTCTGAATTTTCCTGGATGGTATCACTACTTCCAAACCAGTTTTCAGTACTGCATTTTCTGTTTTGTGAACCTGAAAGACCAAGTAGAGCGATGATATGTTCACATTTGGCTAGAATTTGAGGGCCAGCTAATGCCTGCAGGGCTTGGCAGCTTCATGGTGACAGTAGTAAAGTAAGTCACTCCCAGGCAGAGTGGCAGCACTGGTGTATTCTGTTTAACAAAGATGACTCCTCTGTCCTACAGATCATGCCTTGGTAGGGGAGACGAGTGGGACATGACTGGCCATGCATGCTGATTCCATGCCTCCTGCTGTCCCCAGGTAGACACCAGCTCCCTGAGTGGCGACAATACTCTCATGTCCACACTGGAGGAAAAGGAGACGGATGGCGAGCAGGGTCCCACAGCCTCACCAGCCCCAGCAGACGAACCCTCCAGCCCCCTCCTATCCCCTGGCTGCACCTCTTCATCTTCAGCTGCCAAGCTGCTATCCCCACGTAGAACTGCGCCCCGGTCACGTCTAGGTGGCCAAGGGCGTCCAAGCAGGGCAGGGGCTTTAAAGCCTGAGGCTGGCCCCTCTGCTCACCCACGGACACTGGAGGAGCTGCGGCTGACCCCTATGTCATGGAATGTGCCCCTGGATCTGAGCCCCAGGTGAGCAGGCCCTAGACCCCCATGGCAGGGCGGCAATGACAAGGCAGAAGACCAGCTAGATGTAGGTCATTCTGAGCACCGGTCCTTCCACCTTAACTCCTTCCAGCCTGCATGGCCCAAGCCTGCCTGCTCCTGGAAGCTTTCCTTCTGTCTTCCTGCTGCCTCATTTCCTTGTTAGTGTGCACCGTGCCTAGCTCTTGCCATTCTGTGTTGCTTGAGCTTGGCTCCCAGCTATTATGCAAGCTCCTGGGGAAGGGACCTATCCCTTTCTGTTAGCTTTCTCTTAGGACCCCCCAGTCCTCTGGCCACCTTGGGGCTGCTGTATTCTGTGTATGCACACGAGCATCCTGGCCCCTTTAACACCACAGTGCCTGCATATCAACTGATTGGCTGTCCTGTTTGATTTGTTGGGTCCACAGGGTCGTAGATGGCATTGAGGATGGCTGTGGCTCTGACCAGCCCAAGTTCTCTTTCCAGCTAGGCCAGTCTGGCCCAGAATGTAGCAGCAGTCCTTCCCCTGTACCAGGTACTGAGCCCAGGGATAGAGTATGTTGCTGGGAGTGATCCCTTTGTCCCGTAGACCTCAGGCGCTGTTGATCTCTGAGCCAGGTGTTGGAGAAATTGGCAAGGGCCAGAAGCCCTCTTGCCCTCACTCATCCCTGCATTGCTGGTTGGGGGTTTGGTAATGAAGGCCAGCTTGGGACCTTGGTTTGGATCTCTGCTCTGTGAGCTGTCTAGCACTGTGAACTTGGCTTCTCTGGCTCCAGCTTCCTTTCTGTAAAAGGGTTGTGCATGTTAAGTAAGATAATGTAATCAAAGCCCTTAGCTCAATATGTGGCTCACTGGGAGGATAGAGGGCTGGGAACCAGGGTTCATACTACCCAGTCCAGAGCCCAGGGAAGTAAAGAATGTCTACTTCCCTGGAGGAAAGAACAAGGGACAGGCACAGAGAACAACTTCCTGAGGGGGAGAGCACTGGCAGCACGACCTCAGGCTGCTTGGAGGGATTTTCCTGCCCTTGGCATTTGGGCAAAACTATGCTTCTTGGGCCAGAAGAGGTTATTCGTGAGAGTCAGGCCCTTCCAGGTCAGTGTGGTCTTTTCACTGGGCGCTGAGGTTGGAAACCTTGTCTTCTCTTCCCAGCCCCAGCTGATAACCTTATCCTGTCCACAGAGAGTGGCCTACTCACTGTCCCCCTTGGGCCCAGCGAGGCAAGGAATACAGACACACTGGACAAGCTGCGGCAGGCGGTGGGTGAGGAGGGAAAAGGTGGGGGTCAAGAGGGAAAGGGCAGGCACTGCCTTAGCTGTAAGTGGATCCACTGAGCCTGCCTCCTCCTTTCCCCAAGGTTATGGAGCTGTCTGAGCAGGTGCTGCAGATGCGGGAGGGACTACAGTCTCTGCGCCAGGCTGTGCACCTAGTCTTGGCACCCCAAGGGGAAAGCCTGTACCCTCGAGTGTCAGGAGAGGGGCCTTGCCCTGCCAGCACCTCAGGACTCCTACAGCCTCTGCGTGTGGACACTGAGGCGTCTTCCTACTGCCTGCAGCCCCCAGCAAGCTCGGCCATGAGTGGGACCTGGCCCCATCCTCGTCCAGGGCCTCCTCCCCTTATGGCACCTTGGCCCTGGGGACCCCCAGCATCGCAGAGTTCCCCCTGGCCCCAAGCAACAGCTTTATGGACCTCCACCTCAGACTCAGAGCCCCCTGGCTCAGGAGAACTCTGCTCTGAGCCCAGCACCCCAGCCTCACCTCCTCCTGAGGAAGGGGCTAGGCCTGGGCCCCTGGAGGATGTGAGCCAGGCTGAGGCTACCAGCACTGGAGAGCCCCCACCAGGGTCAGGGGGCCAGGCACTGCCCTGGGACCCCCACAGCCTAGAGATGGTGCTTATTGGCTGTCATGGCCCTGGGACAGTGCAGTGGACCCAGGAAGAAGGCACAGGGGTCTGACTGCCAGCCTGAGCTCTGTGCTGCAGACGTGCTGTCCTTGCTCCTCTGACCACACTCGGGACTCCATGCTGCACACTGGCTCAGGGCAGGGAGCCTGAGAGTGAAGGCAGGCTTGGCCCAACTCTCAGAGAAGGCCTGGAGCTTCAGACAGGCCTCAGGGGTAGGAATCTACAGGTCCCTACTCCTGGGGCCCCTTCTCTAGCCTGCTGTTGACCTCTTTGTCATTCTAGTAGGCTGGGGTCACAAGCCTGAGAATAAGGAGGGGTTTTGCCATCCTTTGCATGTGCCTGTCTCTACCTTTCCTTACATTTTTTTATAGAAAAAAAAAATAATAAAGAAACTACTTTGGAACGTAGTAGTGCTTTTAATTTACAAAAAAACCTCAAAAAACAATTGAAGTCTGAAGCTAATTTGCTGGAGACACAGGAAAGTGGTATCTCTGGGGAGGACAGGAAGAGTGGGCTGCAGGAAGGAGGGGGCAGAGCTCTGGCTGTAGGGAAACACCAGGGTCCAGCCTCTCCTGGCTTCCCAATGGCCAGTCCCGGCCTCCCTCAGTCTCAAATCTGAGCTAGCCGATGGGCCTCCTGCTACCCACTGTAAGCAAAAGGTTTTGCCCGAAGCCTGAGTTCCCAACTCAAGGGGGCTGGAATGACAGTGAAAACCAAGGCCAGGGAAAGCCCAGGTTCCTGCTCCTACTCCTCACTGTGGTATGATCTTGGCAGCCTCTGCCCGGATGAGGGCAATGAGGTCCTGGTTGATGAGGAAGACAAATCGCAGGCTGGCAATCTAGGTGGAAGAGAAAGGTGGCTCAGGACAGGTGGAATGGGCCAGGGCCACACAGCAGCTTGCCACAGGCCTGGTCTCATCCTGGTCTTTCTACCTCCTTCCCAGCTCACCTCCACCACAGAATTGTTGCTGAGGCGCCATTTGGAGCCACACAGCACAGGCCGTCCATCAATGTAGATGGGCCGTCGGCCCTCATTGGCAATAAAGAAATCACCATTGTTCTTCAGTTTGATGACACCTATGGAAGCAGAAAGGAAAAGAGATAATGGAGTTGAGGAAAGTCAGAAGACAGTCAGGAGCCTTCAGGTACCATCTTTGTTTCCTGGGGGCAGGGCCCTGATGGCATCTGGGATGCCCAAGTTAGAGGTCTTGAAAGGCTGGTTCCTTCAACCTGCCTTGGCTGGTCCATGTGGGTTTCCAGGGCTGGAAAGGGTAGCAAGAGGCTGGAGGACATCTGCACACTGCTCCCTCCTGGTGGCAGGGGTGAGTGGGTAGTGCAGTACCTTGCTTCCGGGAGATCTTCCATGCCGGGCCCTCCAGAGACAGGTCCACATCAATCTGGTTATCCTTGGTTGCTCTGCCCAGGGTGATCTAGGGAAATGGGGCATAAGGAGTGGAACATGGAGGTCCGCACAGGGCAGGGAAAGATGAAAAATCAAGGACTAGACAGAGGACAGTGACAGAGGAAGGACCCCAAGGGTGGGTGAGGATGGGAGGGCCTGGCTTACCTCACGTGAGCGCATGAGGTACCGCACCATGCGGCCCCGAAGCACTGCCAGGGTCTGGTTGTCAAAGTCCGGAGAACTCATGCCTGGGGTAAGAGGAGATATCGAGGGCCTGAGTGGGAGGCAGGGAACCAAAGCAAGGCCTATGAGCAAAAGGAGCTGGGGCTTGAGAAAGGACGGTGCACCCAGCCAGGCAGCGCGAAGGGCTTAGGTAGGGTGGAGGATGCTGTAGCGATGCTGCTCCGCTGGCCTCCTCACCTGTGATGCTGTCTACTAGCACCTGCCACTTATGCAGTTCCTGCTCCAGCTGTCGGATCTCTCGCTTCTGGCGCCGGTCAGCCACTGTCAGCTCTGGGGTAGGGGGGTGGTAAGGAAACACTCCAAGGCCACCAGCACCATGTACCGGCCCTGCAGCTTCCGTCCCTCACAGTCCCCACCAGGGCACACTTACCATGCTCCAGGACCTCATCCCGCATGTCCCTAAGGATGAGAGAGAAGACACGGCAGGTCCACTTCAGCTCACCTGCACACAGCTCATTAGGGGGTCCCTAGCCCCTTTAGCCCTGTAGCCCAGAAGGCTGTTTACTAGTGGTGGCCTAGCCTCCTTCCCCAGGACTAGGTTGGGAACTAGGGTAAGGCAGGAGCCTAAGTGGCCCCCAGAGCAGGGAAGCCAAGCACAGCAGTTGCAACCTGAGCCTGAAGGCTGGGCAGCCTAGATGCTCTACCACAGGAGATCCAGCCACTCACTTGAGCTTACTGTCATCAATCAGGTCCTCTGCGTCAGAAAAATTCAGCACTTGGTCCCCCTTGGGCAGCGGCTGCACTGAACAAATGACAGAGGAGGATGAGTGCTGAGGCTCCCCCTCGAGCCCAAGCTTCAGAGCAGACAGCTGAGCTAAGGGGACAGGCTCAAGGACGGATCCCGAGGGAAGGCAGCTGAGGGCAGAGGAAATGCAAACAGACCTCTGCCTGGGGTTCTGGATGTGTGAAGGGCTCTCGAGGTTAGTCTTAAACTAGGAAGGGAAGACACTAGTCTTACTCAAATCCATTTACAGATGTGGAAATGGACACAGAAGAGTGGGTTAAGCTATTTGACCCTGGACCAATTCCAAATCCAAACGGCTCCTTCCGGCACATCACCCGCTCCCAGCCTCTCCTGCCACACTGTGAGGGCTGAGAGGCACACATCAGAGGAAAGATGTGCCGGTAGGAGTGCCTCACTCAGGCCAGGGTTTTGTTTTCAGTCCTGGGATTGGAACCTAGGGCTTTCACACTGAGCTACATCCTGAACCCTTTTTATTTTTTGATAGCACCCCTCTAAGTCACTAAGTTGGCCAGGCTGGGCTCTAACTTGGAATCCTCTTGCCTCATCCTCCACAGTGCTGGGATTACAGGTGTGCACCATCACACCTAGCTAAACCAGTGTGCTCATGACCTGCTCATGGGTCATGAAATTACCTTCATTTTTTAAAGAACAAAGGTCAGAATAAACATTGTTTCATAAAAGTCTTTCAATTTGTGTGGTTACTTGGGGTTGAACCCAGGACTTCCTGCATGCTAGGCAAGTGCTCTGCCATTGGTTTACATCCCCAGCACAAGTTTTTCAATTTTTTTTCTGCTGACATTATAAAAGGTACTGAGGCGCCCAAAATTTGAACATGTGCTTTTAGGCCAGGACTGCGGTATGTGCTCTGTAGCAAACAGTAGCAGAGCAGCTGTCAGCTCGGGAAGGGAGGGGCTGTGCAGGAACCACAAATGCTTCTTATCCCCTGCCCCTTGGGTGAGGATGCGTGGGGAGATGGCACGGGGGTCATCACCCCACCAAGCCCCTACCACTAGGGCTGCCTGAAGTTCCATCAGGCTAATGTGCAGCTGACTTGACAGCTAAGCCACGCAGACTATTCCCAGGGACTCCCAGCTCTAAACAGCCAAAGAAAAAATAAATCCCTACATAGAGACTCTTGAAGAAAAACACAATCTTGCTGGGCGTGATGGCTCACTCCCAGCACTCCCAGCGCTCGGGAGGCTGACGCAGGAGGATCGCTGTGAGTTTGAGACCAGCCTGGGCTACATAGTGAGTTCCAGGGCAATCTCAACTACATAGTGAGACCCTGTCTGGGGAAAAAAAAAAAAAAAAAAAAAAAATCAAGAAAAACACAATCTTTAAGATAAGACTTTCAGTTAACAAAATAACATTCAAAATAGTGACAAAGGAGCTAGCTTTAGTAGTAAAAACAAACTTTATCCAGTATGATTCTGCTGCAGGCATGCAGTGACAGCTGAGTCTAGGGAAGAAGCAAAATTCTGGCAGCTGCAGGAATAAAGAGGGCTGCACCTAGACAACCAAAGGAGGCGGGACCACCCTTCCACAATTCTGCAGGAGCATCTTTTCCTACCCAGAAGCTGCAGGATCCTGGGAGGTGAAGGGCACAGACAAAACTGAACTTTCAGGAAAGTATAAAAGTCAACTCAGAAAGAGCTGGTCACAGTGGCATGTTGCTATAACCCAAGAACTCAGGAGGCTGAGAGGAGGGTCACTGAGAGTTCAAGGCCAATCTGGGCGACACAACGAGACCCTGTCTCAAGGAAACAAATGAAAAAAGAGAGGGGAGGCAGTGGGCAGTGACCTTTAGGCAGGAAGCGTGCCAAGTATGAATGAACTATGGATCTGGAACCTAAATTATAAAGCTCACTGATGGGTTCTTACTGTCGAATCAGATTGTGTTCCTAGAACTTGTCACTAGGAGAGAGAATCTGAGGGAAGAGGGGCAGCAGGGAGCATTCTAGACCTTACAGAGAGACGGGCAGACTGGGTGTGAAATCAGTGGGGACTTCTAAATGGCCTGAGAGAAGGCAAAGAAAGGGAGGAGAGAAGAAGGGAAAGAGGAAGGAGAACAGCTTAGAAAAAGTAGTGCTGGGCGTGGTGGCGCACTCCTGTAATCACAGCACTCAGGAGGCTGAAGCAGCAGGATCACTGTAAGTTCAAGGCCAGCCTGAAGGACACAGTGAAACAAGAAAGAGGAGGGAGGAGAGGGGAGAGGGAGACCTATTATCTCTAGGATGACAAACAAGGGGGTGAGTAGAGACTCACACCTTACTCTTATTTGAATACTACCCACAAAGAATGTACTAATGTATTATTTATGTAATGACAAAAATGTCAGGAAAAAACAAAAAAGAAAACAAGACGTAGTAGTTGACTATTTGGACCATGAATGCTGGCAAGCCTGGCTACCTTTATGATGTCACAGACCACTCCAGCTGCTCTGAAAGTAGTCGTAGTTGCAAAGTAAGGCAGACAGGACACCGAGGGCCAGAGAAGTTACAGGGCCCTTAAGGGCAATTGTGCCCAGAGTACTGTACACATGCATGCACACCCACTTGTTCTACCAGCTCCTGGATGCTACCTGTCTGGTCTTCCAGCAGATAATACTGCTTCATAAGCTGCCAATGGGCCTGCAGAGACTTGGCTGTGCGGGCCAAGTAGAAGGCATCAGGGTGTCTGTGCAGCAAGTCCTGGAAGGTCTCCAAGGTGGGCTGGCTGGTCTGGAGGCAAGAAACATCCTCAGCATGACTGGGTTTTCTCTCTCACCTCCACCTTCCCTCCTGTTCCTGTTGGGTCCTGTTCAGTGCCCCCACCCCAGGAGCTAAAGGAAGTAAGTCATCCAGGGGGCTCAGCTGGCTGGCTAGGTGGATCTACATATGCACACAGGCAGACAATGGGCAGGGGCTGCTTGTACCCCACCCTGTCCTTAACCTTACACCCAGCCTATAGTCTTACCGATCCTACTTTGCTCAGCAGCTGCTCCTCAGCCTTGCTGAACAGGGCTTTGCTCTGGATGGCTGCAATGGCTTCTGGGTGCAGCTGCCTCATGGCCTGGCAGGCCAGCCTGGAGAGAGACAGAGGGCAGAGCTGAAGGGAGTTCTGAAGCACTTGAGACCCAGAACCTGTAGGCCAGACCTTCAAAAGGAAAGCCAAATCCCAGTACTTGGGAGGCTGAGACAGGAGGACAGGCACGAGTTAGAGGCAGTCGGGGCTCCACAGTGAGCTCAAGACCAGCCTGAACCACAAAGCAAGATCCTGTCTCAAAACAACAACCTCCAAAAAATAAACAAAACAAGGAAGCCGGAGATTTAGCTCAGTGGTTCAACTGCCTGCCTTGCAAGCGAAAGGACCCGAGTTCGATCCCCGGTACCAAAAACAAACAAACAAACAAAACAAGGAAAAGCCAAAGGCTGAGAAAAGCACCCGTGGCTTCATGAGTTTGCCAAATGAATAAACAGGCAACCCAGAAAACTGAGGCTGCTACGTTCCCTCCAAGCCCAGCCTGAAGCAAATCCTGAGGCCAACTCTTATTCCCTCTTCAGCCTCTTCTCCTTACTTGGCTAAAGCTGCCACTCACTAGCACTGCCTACTACCACCTCTTTCCAAGCAGATGCCAGCCCGTATCATGGTATATCAGCACCACGGCTACCACCTAAGTGTTGCCAGGGGCTGTGGAGGAGTAGAAGATGGGTGTTCAGCACCCAATCAACTTTTATTTTTTGAGTTAGCGTCTCACTATGTAGTTCAGGCTGGCCTCACTACATAGCCAAGGCTGGCCTGAAATTCAAGATGATCCTCCTGCCACAGCCTCCCAATACTGGGGTTACAGCACGCACCACCATACCTGGCTCCAACCAATAAAGACACCAAACTAAGCGGCAGAGGAGGAAAAGTGTGTTGCACGTGTGCAGTTTATTTGGAACTCTGGCTGTTAAAGCTAGAAGGGGCCTTGGTGGTGGTCTGTTCTGACTCCCCCTTCTTATGAGGCAGAAACTGTGAGAGGTCATTGTAGAAAGGGTGGGAGATACAATGCATAGAGGTGACACTGGGGTTCTTGGCACTCAGGTGGGCTTTTCCCTCCAGCTTTTGCCCTGCTTTCAGACCACCCTGCTTCTGGGATTAGGCCAAACTAGCAGGAGGAAGCTGTGAAGTCCATGAAGTCCAGCAGGTCCCTGGATCATCCCAGAGGATGCAAGACCCAAAAGCCCTGCCTCTCAGGCTCTTCCTCTGTGCCCTGATACAATCCAGCCCTTCTGCTCCATGAGCCACTGCTGAAGCCAGCCCCACTTACTTGGAAATGACAGGATCATACAGCAGAGCGTACCAGCGCTCCTGGACTTCTCGGAGGGTAAAGCGGCAGCTGAACTTCACACCCAGGTGGACCGACGTCAGGTCATTGGTCTGCAAAGCCCCAGGTGGTTATGCTCTAGCCTCAGTGCTGAGGAGAATCTTTTTCATACCACACCCATAGGGCCCTGCCAGGCTAGTTTAGGAGGTAGGAACTGAAGGCTGGGGAAGGAGGGGACCCCTAATGCTGTGGTGGAAGCACACTACCTGTAACACAGCATTGATGAGCAAGAGGTCATCTGCAGGTTTCCAGCGGCCCAGATCCTTGGTCACCTGAAGTGGCTGCTTGCTTTTCTTCACACGCTTGGTAAGTCCGGGGGCGGGGGCGGGGCTGGGAGGCACAGGAGTGCTGGGGGCTTTGGATACCTGGGTACATACAGGACAGGATCGAGTGAGCTCAAAGCTGGCAACAGGACAGTTGGGGCTTTTGGCCTAGTGCTTCACACACTGTGAGGCAGCTGCAGCCCCAGTTGATAGTAGGAAGCTAGGCAGGGAATTCAGCTTTCTAATACCCATCCCACCCACCCCCGCCAAATTATTTCTACATAATCCTTGACCATATGGGGTCTTCTCTTGGCTGGTAGTACCCCCAACCCCAGAATGGAGGGTGGGTGGGGAGGATACCAGGAAAACACTCTTGCTGGTACAGTGTCTGGGGCCAGAGCAATGCCACCTGGGGGTTATTTTTACATCCTGCAATGTTTGGAACAGGCTGTCTGCTCCCAGAATAGATGCTTGCTCCATGCCTCCCACACTGAATGTGATACAGGATGCAGTGGTGGTGGGGGAGCAGCAAGAAAGAGTAGGAAGAGATAGAAAGAGGGATCTAGGATAGGGGCTGGGACAACTTGGTCCTCTCACAAGCCTCCTCTGCAGAGCTCTTGGCAGCTGGCAAAGATTCTGGGGAAACACAAGATCTGGCACTGCCACTGCTGCCCCCCACCCCCACGCAGTCCCTCACCTTCTTCTTTTCACTGGAGGAGGGTTCACTTCCTGAATAGCGCCCAGGTTCCACCCCACTGGCCCCCTTTGCTCGAGTAGAGGACTTCGCCAGGCTGCTCTCCACCAGCTCATCATCGAACTTCTTCCTCTTGATGAACCTATGGATGGTCCTACCAAGTGAGCCACCTCTGCCCCTCCCTGGTGCCCTGTCACACATTCACATCCTCAAGAACAAAGAGCTCTCGGCAGAAGTTAACTCTTCTGCTCTTTCAATTTCTACCAGAGCTGGCTCAGTGCATGGAACTGCCATGATCCAGCCGCTGAAATGACCGACAGCTGCATACAAAGATTTTACATGAAAGACTGAAGATCTTTGTCCCTGCTCGAAGTGCCATGGGGAGGGACTGTCAGGGACAAGCAAAGCACAAGGTTTTATTTAGGCCCCAGGCTCAGGCAGTCATTTACAACAGAGGCGAAGGCATACAGCACCTACTGCCACAGGCTTTCCTCCTCTCCCCAGTCTCTCCAAACCCTGACTACCTGGAGGAGCTTCTCCGTTTAGGAATGGTGCCCAAGGCCTGGGAGGAGGCTCGCTTCTGCCCTGCCAGGGACTCCTCATCCTCTGAGCGGCTCGCAGCACCTGATGCCATCAGGGATGAATCTAGCAGTCCCTGAGAATCTAGAAAGAGAGAAATGATGAACTTGGGTTTCCCTGAGCCTCTGCAAGTGGGGCTCCTCATCTCCCTTCCCCTGCCAGCCCTTTTGGCCCCTCCCCTTCCTCCTTGACACTTGACTCTTTTAAGATGACATTTACTCAGCCATCCAGATCCCACCTGGGCTCAGACTTGGACCAGAATTTCCACGCCAGGCAGCTCACCCAGTGTCAAGGGTCATGTCATGCAGCACACGGTGCTCAGGTCAGCCTGGAGATACTAACACACCAGGCCCTAGGCATACTGCTCCCTCTAACACCAAAATGCATCGTGCCAAAGAGCAGCAGCTCAACAGCAAGTCAGCCAATTGTGGCTCTGCTGAAAGGTATATGGGTGGTGCAAGCCCAGGGGGAGGTGAAAATGCCCAGCCAAGATGGAAGACACACGTCAGGCACAGGGTGAAATCAGCAGATGGTTAGTGCCCAAACCTTTGGGGAGCTGGCCCATACTCATACTACCTTTGTCCATCCTCTTACAGTCCCAAAGCCACTAGTTCCAAACCACAGGGCTAGGAGGAAGGGTCCCACAGGCTCATCCAAAGATCCTGACCAGGTGGACTTAGAGGCTGAGAGAAGATTCTGCAAGGAGAAATGAGGCCTTCTGAGACTCAGGTTTTCAACTGGCCAGTCTCACCTTCTTATACTGGTCCAGGTCCCATAAACTAAGGGACACAGGAGTGGAAAGAGGCATAAGACTGAATATTACGTTTATAAAATGGTATCCTTGTGAGTCACTGATATTTTTAAGAGTACAACAAAGGTTAGAGACTCCGGAAAAAAAGTACATACTATTTTGGGAGGTTCACAGACCCCTCTAATTCTACTTGTGTTAGGTTGAACACTTGACTATAAATTAGCACGGACAAAGGATTCTTGGCTCACTTTTTTCCTTCAAACGCCCACTCAGTGCACCAACACCACCCTTCTCCCAGACCACAGCAAAGAAAAGGAGAAGGATCTAGAATACCAATCAGTATTTCTTTTTTCTTTCATTTACAGCTTTTGATGAAATCGGTGATACCTTGTGAGGCTAAAACAGTGAGGTCTGGGAACCGATTATTAACTGAGGAGACGATTCTAACCCCAAGAAAACTCAAGATGCGGGACTTGCTAGAGGTGCTCCGTTCACGGGCCCCGCCCTCTCTAACCACGAAGGCGCAGAGATGCGCTGCGGCCCTGGCCCCAGGTGTGCGCTCGTGTTGCTCCATAGGATACTGCTGGGTCTAGACATCTGCGAAAAGGGCGATGGGGCCGGAGCCCGCAGGCAGGCTGAGGCAAAGCCTGTGCCCGCCTTCTCGGCCCTCCGCCCCTCCTTCTCCCTCTAGAGCACGCCCAAAGTGGGGAATAAGACTAGGTTTTTTACAGGGGCTCAGGGTAGCTGTGGTGATGAAGCTAGCTCTGCACCTTAAAGAACAGCACTAAGGGAACCTCAATGCTCCTGTAGCCTCAGTTTAAGTCCCTCGAGATGGTGGCTTGGAAAGGGGGCCAACCCTCAGGCCGTTCTCACCCCACCTTCGGCTACCACTTTTGCGCATGCGTAACACTTCGAGCCAGTCTAGCCCGACTCGACCCACGCATGCGCAAATTTTCGGGGCGCTACCGGGGCGGGTTGTAGGGGCTGGTCCCTGGCGGCTCTCTGGGAAAGTACATTTCACCTCCAACTCTACTCAGAACCCTCAAAAGCGAACAGTGAGGTCTCACCATTCCTAGGCTGCCAGCTCCAACAATTTCTCCCCGGCGACAGCAGCAGCCGCAGGGCCAGAGCCGGCTTCCGTGAGGTACATCTATTTCCGGGTTACGAACTCGGGCCGGGGCAATCTTTTCCGGTTCGCTCTAAAAAACGTGGTGAAGGGGCGTGGCCATGGCCACGAAGGTATGACTATCTCGCTAAGAGCCGAAAGTAAAATCTCTCCCAATTGGGAAACATCAGAGGTTACCTTAAAGACTCCGGGAAAACTACTCGGCTAGAGGGAGTGATTAAAGGGAAACACAAAGTCTGGGGCGAAACGGAGGCGGGCAACACTGAGAGGGGCGGGACTGAGGGCGGGCCGGGGCTGCGGACGGATCGGGGCTGTGGACTGGATTTCGGGAGTTCGCACCAAGTATACGAGGCGTCCAGGGGTTTCCCAGGACCAGTTCTGCGTTGTTTGATTCTAACAACGGTTTTAGAGAAGCGAGTCTGTCAAGGCCCCGTGCTAGACACGAGACCGAAAGAAAATGTTGGGTTCGCTTTAGCCCGGGAGGTGAATGTCTAAGGAGCAAATGCAGGATCGTGGGACACGTTTCCGAGAAGGTAGAAACAGGGAGAAGGCGCTGTGTCCGGCTGGTTCCATCAACCCAGCCGCACGCGTTCTGGTGGGCGAAGTTCCTGGGCGCCGGGAGAGACTAATGAAAGCGTCTTTAGAAGAGAGTGCCCTGGAGAGAATCTTGGGGTGGGAAAACGAGCCAGCAGTGAACTGGAAATGTTGGGAGTTTGGGGCTGAGAGAGATGCTTGAGAAAGCTAGAAAGGCTGTACTTTAAAAGAGTAGTTCTAGCCGGCGTGGTGGCACACGCCTGACCTACACTAGGGAGGCTGAGGCAGGAGGATCACCGCAAGTTCAGGGCCAGCCTAAATCACGGAGCGGAGCAAGATCCTGTCAAAAAGTTCTCTTTTATGGTTCCCTGAGGCACACAAAAGTGTAAGCACTTCAGGCTGTGGGGATGTAGCTCAGAGGCAGAGTGCCTGCCTTAGCACCGGTCAGGTGCTGAGTTTAACCTGCAGTACCTCAAACAAAAGACACCTAGACATTCTGGAGAATTCAAGGATACCTGTCAAAGGAGAGATTGACCCTTCATCCAGACAGTGTGTGGTAGCTCTGCTTGAAGTTTCCTTCTCCTTTACTGAGTATAACATACAGTGAGTATGTACACCTTTTATCTCCCATGAAAGACTATATTTTGGTACACAGTGTGGTGGGTTATGCTACATATGGTGTAGTTTAGATAAAATGGTGTCTGTACTAGATGAGAATTGATAGGATGGTCTTTAAAAAAGTGATAAACTGAGGTTTGATGATTGGTAAGGGATCAGTGAGGCAGTGAGCCAGGGTAAAATGACCCAGTCAGAGGGGCAGATTGGCTCTGAAGCAGGAAAGAGTTTGAGGAAAAGGAAGGAGGACAGTTTGGCTGGAGCAGGGTGATCAAGAAAATGAGGAAGGAGATGGAGACAGAAGTCCCAGGTGTAGTGGCACACTGTAATCTCAGCACTTGGGAGGCGGAATCAAGAGGATTGCCATGAGTTCAAGGTCAGGCTGGACTACACAGCGAGACCCTGTCTCAAACAACTAAAGAAAGGGAAAAGAAAAGGGAAGGGAAGGAAAAAGAAACGAAAAATTATGAGGAAAAAAAAAAAGGGAAAAGAAAATATGAGGAGAAAACATGGATACAAAGTCTTTGTAAATAGGGTGGAGGAGGTGGAGAGGGGACAGGGGTATGGGGAAAAAATAACAACCAAGACACGTTATGTAAAGGTACAAGATCCCAATGGTAAATGTAACTATTGTATACCTAAACTGTACCAATAAACTGGATGGGAAAAAAAAACTGTATGCTTCTGAAGGACATGAAAGGAGGCTTGAACAAATGAAAAGGCTTCTTCTATCCTGAGGTAGAAAGAATCACTATCATAAAGATGTCAGGTCTCCATAAATTATTATATACATTTAACACAATCTAATAAAATGTCAACAGACAACTGGAATGTAAAGTTCATATGAAAATGTGTACATCAAGACTAGCCATAATCACGGTTGGGGATTTAGCACAGTGGCACCATGCCTGCCTTGCAAGCACAAAGTCCTAAGTTCGATCCCTGATACTGGGGGGAAAAAAACAACAAAAAAAGAAAGAATAGCCATAACATTTTGGAGAAAAGGTTGAGAGGGAAATAGCTTTTTCAGATAGTAAACCATTGAAAGGTACAATAATTAAAATAGTAAAATCCAGAGTTCACTAGCACATACACTGACTGTTTTTCATCAGGAGAGCAAAATTGCCAGAGATTTAGCTCAGTGGTGCCAACACCTGCCTCTCAAGTGAAAGGTCCCGAGTTCGATCCCTGGTACCAAAACAAACAAACAAACAAATAATAAAAGGAGAGCAAAATGGTCCAGAAATAGATCTAAGACATTAAAAATTTTTGTTTTGTTTTGTTTTTTGTTTTTTGGAGACAGGATCTCACTATGTAGTTGAGACTGACCTGGAACTCATTATGTAGCCCAGGCTGGTCTCGAACTCACAGCGATCCTCCTGCGTCAGCTTCCCGAGTGCTGTGATTACAGGTGTGTGTCACCGTGCCCGGCTTAAAAATTTTAATATATTATCAAGATAGCATTGTCTGTCATTAGGAAAAAGATGGACTGGACAATAAATAGTATTGAGACAATTGTGTAGCCAGCTGGAAAAAAATAACATGGTATCTCACTTCTTACACTGAAATCCATATCAGTCGATTGTGTTTAAGTGTAAAAGAGTAAATCCACAAATTTTCAATGTCATAGTGGAGAAAGTATTGTTTCAGAATGGCACAACATTTCTCAAAGCATATAAAAAAGACAAATTCTGTCAACATAAAAATCTATAATCTCTGAGAGCAAAAATAAAGACTAATGGCAAACCATATTTTCAACTCATATCATAGACAAAGGGACTAATTTGCTTAATATATACAAAATCTCTTCAAATCAATGTGAAGAACAAGAATTCAATAAGAAAATGGGTTTATTAACAGAAAAGGAAAGATTAATGGCTCTTGAATTATGAAAAATACTCAATTACTGTCACAAGAAAATTGAAACCATGTTTAGATATAAGTTTTTACCTACAGAGTGGCAAAAAATTCATACATAGACAGTATACCCTGGGCATGGTCGTGGGGAAATAAGCCCTCTCATATTGCTGAGGGAACTGTAAATTGCCAATACTTGTCAAAATTACAAATGCATATAATTTCAAATCCAATAGGCACACACATTCAAATTAAACTATTACAAAGTTATCACATTTTAGCAAATGTTTAGAAATCAAACACCTATCACTAGAGGACTAGTAAAATAAATTATGGTACATCCATGTAATGAGATATCATACAGCCATGTTAAAGAACTGCCAGAAAAGTCTTTATAAGCCATGATTTATCCTCAGGAAAAAAAAAAAGTGCCCTTAAGGAAGTTGTTTTGTGTGTATGTGTGGCACTGGGGATGGAGCACAGGATTTTTGCACTGAGGTGTATTTCTCAAATTTGCCTGTCATCCTTGCTTAGGGGCCATGCTAATCTCTTTATCATTCCAATTTTAGTATATGTGCTGCTGAAGCAAGCACTGCACTGAGCTGTATTTCTAACCCTTTTGTAGTTTTTATTTGAGTGTCTTTTTTTGTTGTTTTTTTTGAGACAGGGTCTCACTGTATAGTTGAGTCTGACCTGGAACTCACAGTGATCCTCCTGCCTCAGCCTCCCAAGTGCTGGGATTATGGTCGTGAGCCACCATACCCAGCGAGAGCGTCTTGTTAAGTCACTGTACTACCTAGGCTGTGCTTAGATTTGTGATCCTCTTGTCACCACTTCCCCGAGTATTGGGATTATAGACATGTAACCACATCCAACCCAGAGTTCTTAAGTAGATAGAGGTGATATAAAGTCTGCATTTTGGATTGCTCTGGCCTAGTATGGAGCACTGATTATAAGAGTAAAACTAGAGCTGGGGATTTAGCTCAGTGGCACCATGCCTGCCTTGCAAGTGAGAGCAAGGTCATGAGTTCAGTCCCTCTACCAAAAGTAAAACTAGAGACAGGAACACCAGTCAGTGGCCTAAATTAGTTACCAAGGAGAAGACATAAGAAATAGACTGATAGGGCTGATGGTAGATTACATATACATATGCAAGAGATGCGCCAAAACCAGGCATGGTGAAGCATGCTTGTAATCCCAGCATTTGGGAGGCTGAGGCAGGAGGATCACTGAGAGTTGAAGTTCAGCCTGAGCTACATAGTGAGTTCAAGGCCAGCCTGAACTACATAGTGAGACCCTGTCGTGAGAGAGAATGAGAACTGATACCCTGGTTGCACACTTTGGTAGTGGATGGAGGTGGGTGGTTATGCATTGAGAGATAGGAGAGCACAGAGGCTTGAGGGTGAGATGGAAAGACACTGAGCTTCACGTGGATGGATTGAATTGGAGAGGCCAGCGGACAGTGAGTTGAGCTGTTCAGTTGGATGTTTACATACATAGTTCTCTGACTAAGGGGGAGATTGGAATTGGGGATTTAGGAGTCATCTTCATATAAATCACAGGGGACAGTAAAGTCATTTGCTACTCTGTCACCTGTGGTGGTTCTGCCCCTCTGGCATTTTGTTGAAATCCCACTTGAAGAAGTCCTGAAGAATTTCCAGGCCCTTCTTGCAAATACCATCTCCTGTTCCTGTTCTCCGTTTCACTTTGTACTTGTCTCACAACATTGCCCTGTGCCCCTTTTTATGCCAGCTCCCCACTATTTTACTCTGTCCCCACATGAGTGGGAAGAGAGATTGTGCTCCAGTGTTGTCATCTCAAATCCAGCACTGGGCTGCGGATTTAGCTCAGTGGTTCTGCCATCTGCCATGCAAGCACAAGATCCTGAGTTCGATCCCCAGCGCACACACACAAAAAATCCAGCACTTAACACAGCACACTCAGCAAACAGTTGCCAATGAATGAGTGGATGGATGGTTGGATTGTGAGTTCTCAGGAGTACAAGAACATAGTTGTGTTTTGCAGCTATTCTAGTGCTTTGCATATAGTCAGAACCCTATGTTTGCAGTAAGTTTATTGGAAATTCATTTCATTTACTTTTGTGTGTGTGTGTGTGTGTGTGTGTGTGTGTGTGTCCGCACTGCTTAGTATAGGGCATTGCACCATAGTAGATGCTCAATAAAAGCTAAAGGAGTCAATAAATGAACAATTGCTCACTTATTTGCTCTCAGGAACCTCCAGAGAGGCCAGTAGCTTTGGCAGACAGTGTTTTGTGCCTCTGACAGGCTGCTTTTGCGGGCCAGTGACAAGCTGTGCCCAGGGAATGCAAAGTATGGCTACCAGACCGCATTAGTGTGATCCTGGGGGCTGAGTGTTTAAGACAGTGAGATATGGCTTGCCGAGACTGGTCAAGAGCACCCCCAGAGATAAGAGCAAGGCAGCCCACTGCAGAGGGGTTGGATCACTTATTCCTCAGAGAGACATTCTGCTTGGTTTTTACTGTGCGCACAGTGCTAAGGGTTGGAGGGAGCAGCTACAGCTATGAAGGTGACTGGGCCTCTGGTCTTGTGGGCTCAAAGACAGGCTTATCCAAACTCCAGAACACAGGCAAGATGGGATGCTGGAAGAGCTGCATGAGCAGAGGGCAAGAGACACCCCAGGAAGGGGAGTCTCGGCAGATCAGAGAAGCTGTCGTGGTGAGCTCCTTGACTAAGCTTTCAGGAAATGGGATGGGAATTGCAATGGCTTACAACTGGTCTCCCTGCTGCCCCTCCTATGTTTTGTGTACTCATCACTGTGCTGGAGCAAAGGTCAGATTATGTGACATCTGCTCAACTTGGAACAATGGTTCCCATTTTGTCCAGACTCCAAAATAAGTCCTTCCTCGACCTGATGTGAGCTGCCCCCAAGTTGCTGTTCTGGCACCACTGCTCCCATTCTGCCCTCGCTCACCCACAACAGCCACAATGGACACTTTGCCAGTCCTTCTGTGTGCCAGGCGTACGGTACTCCCTCGTGGGGGTGGGGTCTGCACCTAGTATGAGACTCCCCAGGCTGGCTTCCTTACCTTCTTCAAGTCTGCTCAGGTCTGACATGCGTGCTGGTGCATGCCTGTAATCCCAGCACTCGGGAGGCTGAGGCAGGAGAATCACTGTGAGTTCGAGACCAGCCTGGGCTACATAGTGAGTTCCAGGTCAGCCTTAACTACATAGTGAGACCCTCTCTCAAAAAAAGTCTACTCAGGTCTTTGGTAACCTCCATGCAATATTGCAACCTCTACATTCTGCTTTATGCCTGTACTGAAATCTGTGTTTCTCCACAGTACCTTTTACCACCTGACAAACTGTATTTTACTAATTTTTGTTTCTTGTGTCCTTCCATCCACACAGAATGTAAGTTCCATGGAATAACTTTTAAAAAAATCAATTTTCTTTTGGTTCTGGGGATCGAACTCCGGACCTTGCACTTTCAAGACAGGCAGGCGGCACCACTGAGCTAAATCCCCAGCCCCTTAAAAAATAATTTTTATTTGGTACTGTCTTCCTAACACCTAGAACATTGCCTAGTGCTAGGTGCCTAGTAGAAATTTGTTGAATGAATGACAGACAACATGATGTTTGAGGGAGTCTATAAGAAGGCCCTTCTGGCAGCGTTCCTAAAAAACAGCTGCCTAAAGAATTATTTGCATAGAACTGGGTGTAGTGGCACAAATCTATAATTCTAGCACTTGTGAGACTGAGGCAAGAGGATCATGGAAAGTTCTAAGCCATTCTGGACTACATGGTGCAGGGCCAGCATGGAGTACATAGTCTGTGTCTCAAAAAAACAAAGGTAATTATTTGCAAGAATAGATCTCTACTGCCAAGCTGAAGACCCTGCTGGGTATAGGCGGTCAAGTGAGAAGAGTGGCTCAAGGCTGAGGCACTACAAATTGTCTGCAAGATCTAGATGTCCAAACGGTAGGTCAGAAATCCCTTGACTTCTTATCCTCCCTTTGCCACACTTGCCCTCACTGTGGGGCTCTGTACCTTCTCAGATGGACCCTGCCAGCTTCCCTCAGATCCACCCTGTTTCTGTAATCTGCCTCTCTTTTAAGTAGACCTATGGAGGACTTTAAACAAGCACTTTGCTGCCTCCTCGTGGCTCCTGCAGTAAAGGACCTCTTCCAGACAATAAGGCAACAGGAGCCCACCCAGGGACTCAATGATGTAATGGGAAAGAAAACCTGAACCTTCTTGACTTCATGGCGATCCTGACTGATAGCTGCCTGCCTCTTACAGATGCTGCCTCACATGGCAGTGAGCATGCCTCGGCAGAGCTCAGGCACTCAGGCTTTGGTTCTGCTGGGCTAGTCAGCTCCGGGGGAAGAATCTAGGGCAACAGGCAGATCCCAAGGCCTGCCTTGAGAGACAGTAGTCCCAACAAATAAATAGTCTGTAATGGGCCATGAAGCCGCTAGCCAGTTTGGGGCCTCACAGTATGTGGATGGCTGAGATGTGCGTGGTGGCGCATGCCTCTGATCCCAGCACTGGGGAAGCTGAGGCAGGAGAATGGGGCGGAGGCTAGCACCTGTGGAGCACTGGAGAGCCCATACCCCGTCAGAGGCTGCTCAGCTTCATCATTGTTACATTCCAGCCAGTCAGTGTTTGCAGGTAACAGAAGCCTGCCTTGGCCAGTATCAACCTCTGAAAAGGGGAATTTCCTAGAAGGAGGCTGGGTAAGACAGGAAAATGGCTGGACCTCAGAAACAATCTGGCTGGCAAAATTTCTGATGAGAAGGCTGCTTTCTTTCTTTCTTTTCCATAGAGCTTCTTTTCCTTTCTGGGTATTTTCAAGAAGTTCTCTTATATTTGATTTCAGCAGTTCCACTATGCTATGCTTAAGCGTGTTCCTTGTATTGCTCTGAGGAGATTCTCTGAGCTCCTTGGATCTAAGATTTGTTGTATTTCATTAATTTGGGAAATTCTCAGTGATTTTCTCTTCCAATATCCCATGTCCCTTCTCCCTCTGAGACTTTGATCACGTGTCAGAACATTTGACATTGTTCCACACATCTTGGGTGCTTAGTCTTGGGGTTGTTTTTACTCCCTTTGTGTTAGAGTTCAGCTCATTTCTATTGTCCTAGCTTCAAGTTCATGAATTTTTCCCCTTTTCTTTTGCCTAGTTTACTGATAATCCTGTCAAAGGAATTCTTTATCTCTGATTAGTTTTTTTATTTCTAACATTTTCATCTTTTCTTCCTTTCTTCCTCTCTCTCCCCTTTTTCTGTCTTTTCTTAAACTTGCAGTACTCCTACCTCAGCTTCCTGAGTAGTTGGAATCACAGGTATGCACTACTACTCTACTCAGACTGTGCCATTTATTCATGGTAGTGTTCACCTTTTCCACTAGGCTAGATTCTGCAGAGTATTAGATAGCTACCTCACAGTCCCCGGCCTCCTGTTGCCACATTTCAGCCATGCACATTGCCTCTTTTTAAAAAGAGAACACCTTTGGTCATGAAACGATGCTCGTCTTGTATCTGACTTTTTCAAGTCAGCCTCCCATAGTATCAGTAAACCTTGCCGCTAGAAAAACACCATATATATATAGAATATATAATTTATTTACTTAACAATGGGGATACATTCTACAAAATATGTTAGAAAATTTTGTCATTGTGTCAACATCACACAGGTTGTATCTATATAAATTAAGATGACTATGATGTCACTAGGTGATATAGTCTTCTGATATAGATATATCTATCTATAGATAGATAGATATATCTATCCCTGTTTTCCAACCTTCTTGGCTTCATAGCTTGGCCCACCCAGGGCTTCTGTGCCTTCAAGGAGATGAAATTGTTGGCAAAGCAAAAGAAGAATGTGTTAGACATTGCTTGTTTGCCAGAGAACTTGCTAGAAGATACCAAAAAGTCAGAGTCCTCGTCACTAGGGCAGGGTTAGCCACCAGACAGTTTAAGCACAGTGCCAAGAGCCTATGGAAACATGTGAAACCTTTAAAAATACCATTGGTGTCAAAATATTAAAGTCTATATAAAATGTTTATAAAACATTTTGCTGCTTCTACTCACTGTCAAATTTAATATACTCAATACATTTATAAAACTTGTTAAATTTCATCTCTGTGCATGATAATTGCAGAGAAGTCACAGCCATTAAATAACTTACTCATAGCTGGTTAATTTCCAAAGCATAGTTGTAAAAGTCCTTTGAAATTATTGAAAGTACTACATTTAATATAAAGGCATATGTTGGATGTGAGTGGGATGAGGCCTCCCCATAAGAGTGAGCCTGAGACCTGAGAAGCTGGAGCTAGCCCTTCACTGCCACAGCTGACCCCTGGGTGCAGCCTGCGTCAGAAAGCCTTCACCCTCCTCCCTGGGCCAGGCACCCTTGTGCTGTGAAGATATTAAATCCTCCTGATGTCATCCATAGCACCAGATGTTCATTTCCTACCTCTTCCCGGAGTCCCAACTTTAGACTGGAAGCAAAGATGGGCACCGTTTCTGAGAAAGAGCCTGGATATGTGCTCTCTGAGGACAGGGCCATTTCCTACTTGTCACGTCTGGTCCCTAGGCCGAGTGTGCTGGGTGAGTAGAGAAGCGGGTCAGGGAGACTCCGTAGGAATGAGGCAGGGAGCCGTGTGCCAGAGACGGGGAGGAAGGGCATGAATGGTGCCACACATGGAGTAACCAAAGCAGCATCGTCACTGAACTGACGTGTAACTGCCACACACAGCTTCTGTAGCCCATACTGTCTGGATTTGGAACCTCTGTGTCTCGATTTCATCTACCTTTGTCACCACGACTCAGACACACATGCATTTCACCTGGCCCTGACTTGGATTGACATCTCCTTTTGTTCTTATCTTCTGAGCTGTCATGATAATCACTGGTAGCCAGTTAGTCATTTGATTAAATGAAGAATTATACTGACTTTGTGCCAAGGCACTAATGATGGCTGTTTCAGTTTGTTGGCTCCCTTGAATGGACCTGAGCAAGGGGAGAGCCAGGCAGTTAGAGGCCAAAATTCATCTCTGGCTGTAGAGAGTGTTTGGTTTGTGCACACACAAGCTCTGCGAGGGTAGAGGCAACACTTGGACGGTCCTCTGATCCGTGCCCAGCTCCATGTCAAGGTGGTTATGGGCTAGGTTCCAAAAATGAGTTAAGGAAGTATGGGTTTCCACAAATAGATGTAATCTCTGTTTTATTAAAAATGTACGGTTTGGGGACTAATGGAGAAAAAATGTTATTCAAAGTTCTAGGATTATTTAGAAACACCCAGTGTTTGTTTAAAAGCACCAGCTGGGAATCTGCATTTGGAACAAGTCCCCGTGTGATTTTTTAGTCACCCTGAAGTTTGAGAATCACTAGTTAAGGGGTGGAGTGGAGACTGGAACTGTTCCTGTTTCATTCCTTCTGGCTTTGCAGGGTTCTAGGGAGTGACTGGCTCAACTTTTTGCAGACAAGCTCAGCTGGCTCCTCTGTGGGTTCCTGGCATTCCTTCCTCTGGGTCACGGAGGCACTGTGAAAGAGTTAATACAGTTTCAGGTAGGGGAACTATTGAGACAAGGCCCTGGAATGGAACCAGCCTACCTGAGCACTTCCTGAGGCTAAGTTCAGAGACTTGATCTGAATGTGGAACTGCTGAACATGTTTCTGTAAAATCTCAGAGGCTCTGCTTCTCTTGTGAATCTGCCTTTTGTCTTATTTTCACAGGACACTTCCTCTTCCATCCCTCATTCTTCTTTGCTCCTTCCTACCTATCCATGTTTCTTTCTCCCCACCACAGTTAATCTCTCTGTCTCTTTTTTTTTTTTTTTTTTTTTTTTTTTTTTTTTTTTTTTTTTTTTTTTTTTTTTTTTTTTTTTTTTTTTTTTTTTTTTTTTTTTTTTTTTTTTTTTTTTTTTTTTTTTTTTTTTTTTTTTTTTTTTTTTTTTTTTTTTTTTTTTTTTTTTTTTTTTTTTTTTTTTTTTTTTTTTTTTTTTTTTTTTTTTTTTTTTTTTTTTTTTTTTTTTTTTTTTTTTTTTTTTTTTTTTTTTTTTTTTTTTTTTTTTTTTTTTTTTTTTTTTTTTTTTTTTTTTTTTTTTTTTTTTTTTTTTTTTTTTTTTTTTTTTTTTTTTTTTTTTTTTTTTTTTTTTTTTTTTTTTTTTTTTTTTTTTTTTTTTTTTTTTTTTTTTTTTTTTTTTTTTTTTTTTTTTTTTTTTTTTTTTTTTTTTTTTTGAAGTACCAGCCATCAAACTCAGGACCTTGTGCTTGCCAGGCAGGCATGGTGCCACTAAGCTAAATCCCCAGTGGTTCATCTCTTTCCCAGACAAGTGATAAGCTCTTGTCTATCTCCTGCATGGGGATGTCTGTGTGAGTGTCTGTTCTTGGGCATCTCAGTGGGCTCATGGGGACCAGCATATTAGCTGTGAGGAATGGACCTGAGCAAGGGAAAGAAGGGAGTTGGAGTAGAGGCCAAGATTCCAGCTGCAGGGTGTTTGATGTAAGTAGACACACACAGCTGTCCTACCAGTCAGCCAAGGGACAGTGCTTAAAGACAGCAGAAAAAGATCATGGAGAAAGGGGGCTGCTGGGTTTTGAAGGACACAGTCATGTCCCAAACCAGAAGAAAGATGAGTACCCCTTTGGAGATAATTCAGGCTACCAGTGGCAGGCGAGCCAGGATGGTGCAATCGGCATGAGATTGGTTCCCCCATTCTAAAGACTATAAATGCTGTGAACCAGGCAGTATGGCCAGAGTAGCTAGTAAGCTCAGGACCACAGAGAGGTAAGTGACGGCAACCCATGCAGCAGTGGGTGTGAAGATTCCTGGTGGGCCAGAAGCAGGTGGCAAAAGAAGATGCTCTTTTGGGAGTGAAAGCAATGTGTATCTCAGGAGGCCAGGTAGACAGAGAATTCGTGGAAAGGAGTATGACCACCAACTCTGAGGTGGCAGCAGCCTGGGTAGTGAGCAAGAACTTGTGTTAGACTCCGCAGACCTTTCCATATGATTAACAGTTCCTAAAGAACACAGGAAATGCCTGAAACAAAGCATGAAGAAGCAACCTGACTCGTGTGGAGTACAGATGTGGGAGACAGAAGAAGCAGGGCTGCCTCTACACCTGGTCGTGGGATAAACTGAGTAAACTTGTATAGAGGTGGAAAGGGGGTGAAGAAAAGTGTATTCATCTAAATTCCTGTAGAAAGGGGAAGCTGTCTTTGCAGGGAACAATATTTTGATAAGTGCTTCAGCCTGCAGCTGAGATTTCACTGGAGGCCTGGGTGTGGGTGGAACAGCTCTACTTGAGGCATGCAGGAATCTTAGAATTTTGCATGTTATACCAAAGATAGCTGGTGATAAAAGGGTTGCTGCTGTGTTCTATTCATTGTGAACCCCTTTGTCCATTATCCTCTTACATTTTCAGAAAGATACTAATGTCATGGGTGCTTGAGGTCAAGTAGAGGGTGCACACTTGGGGGAAGAACAAAGGGGTGGCCCCCAGACTCTGATGGAAGCTGAGCAGGGTCGCAGAGAAGAGACACAAGGAGCCTACAGAGTGGGAACACCACATGGGAGGACCTCAGCTGGGTGGAGCCCCCAGTGACTGACTTTTCAAGCTTTCCTGTCATATTTTTCTGGTTATTCTCAATTCTGTTAGTTATATCCAAATCAACTAACAAAACATACACATTCCCCCTTGGAAGGCTACTGGGACTAAGCGGGCTATTGTACTGAGTCCAGGAGGGTGTTCAGGCCCATTTCAGATAGAGGCACAGCCAGGGCCTGGCCTTCTCTGCCGCTGCTCTGACAGCCTGTCTCCCCCAGGTCTCCACTGGGCGGATGGAGCAGCACTAGCGTCTTACAGTTCTTGGTTCTGATTGTGTTAGACTGGCAGCCATCAGGTCCCTGTCTCTGTCAGAGATATTGAATTGAGTCAGGGTCAGGATCACAAGAAGCTGAGAGACTTGGAAAGGTCCCTTGAAGCTGGGTGTGGTGGCCCATGCCTGTAATCACAGCACTTAGGGAGGCTGAGGCAGGAACTGCATAAGCTTGAGCCCAGTTTAAGCAATTTGGTGAGACTCCGTCTCAAATTTTAAAAGGACCGAATGCAAAGGCCCTGAGTTCAATCCCCATTACTGCAATCACAAATAAATAAATACGTAAAAATAAATAAGGCTGAGGATGTAGCTCAGTGTGAAGACCCTCACTTCAATTTTAAAATTGGGGGTGGTGAAGGGATTTAGCTCAGTGGTTCCACCTCCTGCCTCACAAGCTCAAGGATCCAAGTTTGATCACTGGTACCCCCCCAAGATAAAATTTAAAGAAAAAAGGAAAGAAAGATCTCTTGAAATAGTTTTGATCTTCAGTATATCTTCAAGCCAAGAAAGGTAAAGGAGAGTGGAGCCTGGTCGAAATAGAAAAGCTTCCTGCTGACTGACTGTGTGCTGTGGCCCTTTTTTTAGCTACTGCTCACAGAAACAATTCCTGAAGGCAGTTTGTAAATGAAAACCAGAAAGATATGCCCAGGTACAAGTCCCAGGTTTATCTCATGATTCATGGTCTCTCAGTGTCTCCAACCCTCCACCTGGCTCTCTCAAGGGCAAAATAGACCTCTTCAGAAATTCATGTGCAGCCCTGAAAACAAGTGTGAAGGCAAAACCCCTGAGGTGATCTCAGCACTATGGAAGTCCTTTGAGAGAACTGAAGTAATGTTGGCCTGGGACCTGAGCTGATGGCCGCTGAATGGATGAGGCAGGTTAGCATCTCTTGTCTTTTTGTTGTTGTTGTTGTTTTGTTTTTTGAGACAGGGTCTCACTGTATAGTTGAGACTGACCTGGAACTCACTGTATAGCCCAGGCTGGTGTCGAACTCATAGTGATCCTCCTGCCTCACCTCCCGAGTGCTGCGATTACAGGCGTGAGCCACCACGCCTGGCTAGAATCTCTTGTCTAATATGACACCATAACTGAAGCCATTGCTAAGGACTGGAGAGATTGCCTGGGCTGTTGGAGAGGGATAGTGTGCCTGCCCTTTAGGTCTCTGGGAATCCCAGATTAAGCGCCTGGCCTTGCACCTTACTGGGCCTTGAGTGACATCAAGTTTCCCTGGTAGGAGGAATGCTCATCCAGTGCCAACGGCCAGGGCATATCTGGGTATCCCCCTAGCTGGTCCCAGGACAACTTGGTGGGTGTCTTTTTCTCTATTGGGTGACTAGAGGAGGCCACATCAGCCTTCCAGATGGCCTCTGTGTGGTTCCCCTGTTGGCTGAGGGTGGAGGGTAGAGGGAATACCAAAAAAGACCAAGGCTTAGACTGAAAAGCCACCAGCTCTCCAGGGCCACAAGACCCAGGACATAGCTTTGTTTTTTCCCTTCTCAAATAGTTTGTCACCTGTCCTCTCCCCAACTTGCTTACTTCCCTGAAGCGCTTCCTGCTGAAAAACTTCTGTAAGAGGCTTCCAGAGTACCCTGTGCTTCCTTCCAGGCACATCCCCTTGGGCTGAAGCCCCGAGCCAGCGCATGCTGGAATGGGTGTGGATGTGGCTCTGCTTGGCTTCCCAGAAGCTCTCAGTGTCTCTGAGCCTGGGGGTTACACAGTGGGAAGGATCAGGCTTATTTATACGGACAAACCAATGGCAGCAGCCAGGTTGATGCTCAGGATAGAAATGCTTGCTTTTTGGCTGTGGGCTCTCAGTCTTTCAACTGCATAGTTTGAAACACAGGCTAATTAACCCCCTGCAGCACACACTGCCACACATCCCACCCTGGCCCATGTGTCAGGGCTGGGCAGGGACCTGGCAGCCCATGGAATGATCTGTGTGCTTTCTGCCTCCCACCCATCCAGCTGGCTACTCTCTCAGCTTCTCTGCACATACCTGGGTGACCACAAGGGCACACATTTCAGTTGACTGGGTAGAAAAGATTGCTTGCAAGTGGGATTGCTGGAATGGATCCGCCGGCGTAAGGCTAGGGGTGACTTGCTTTTCTTTGGCTTTGAGGAGATGACCACAGGGATGTTTAGGTGAACATTCCACTCCAGGCAGAGCTAAAGGAACCAGCAAAGTGGTATCAGGAAGACAAGAAGTCATCCTTCTGTAGGCCAGGAAAAGACCTCACCTAGGTGTTGGTCCCCTGCTGGGCTCAGGGCTGAGTGGAGAGGATAGGCACCAAGGCATTCCTCCAATTATAAACCCCTGGGACCTGGGGGATGAGCTAGTTCCTGTTTTCTCCTTTTTTATGAAGAATCTAGGCAATCAGTGAAGCAAAAGGAAGAAAACTAAAGGAAACCAAGTCAGCTGGAATCTGTGAGACACTTGCAGGGGTCATGGCAAGGGGCCAAGTAGAATCTGAAGGGCAATGTAGGTTTTCACCAAACCCAACTCTTAGTACTGGGCAAGGAATTGGAGGATAGACACTCAAAGAATTGTTATATGATCTCATTGTTTCTCAACCCCCAAACTAACTTAGCAAGTCATGTCAGCAACAGCAGATTCTCGGGACAGATACAGGTACTATGTATTAAGTTAAGAGAACCTCCATGGCTGAAGCTTTTCCCACAGCCTGTTGCCAGCACTTGGACTCAATCCCTTAGGATGCTGCCTCCCCACACTCAGGACTTGGCTGCTCGATACAATGCTCAGGCCAGGTGTGGTGGCACATGCCTATAATCCCAACACTTGGGAGGATGAGGCAGGAGGATTGCTGTGAGTTTGAGGCCAGCTTAGGCTACGTAGCTCAAGTATAAGACCAACCTAAACTACATAGTGAGACCCTGTCTCAAACACACACACAACAGCCGGAGATTTAGCTCAGTGGTGTTACTGCCTCCCTTGCAAGCTCAAGGTCCCAAGTGTGGTCCCCAGTACCAAAATCAATCAATCAATCACACACACACACACACACACACAGAACAGGAGGGAAACGCCCTACCCAGTCCCAGGGCACATCCCAGCAGGTGAGTCACTGCTGCATGACTCTCCAATCCCTCCAAACTCCCAGCCATCCCCCACGGAACACCTCAGTCTTTACTGCTTCTCTGTCCCTGGGACCTGGGGGAAAAGCAGAGGACACTGAACTAGCCTCCTTTTTCAAGCCTTCCTGAGCCTCTTAATTGGAGCAAAAGGCTACTTATTCCACACAGTTGTACTGAAGAATCTGTAAATGACGAATCTAATAGGCGGTCCAATCCTCATGAGTAGTGCAAAGGGCTATTCCTGCCATGTAAAAGATGGGTGTGTATGTAAATTCAATGCTTGTATAATAGGGATGAAATTATTAATATCCCCAAAGGGTATGCATTTTTATTTTTTGGGTTAATTTCTGTTTTCTCTTTGGTCATAGAAAATCTGGAAAGTAAGCAAAATAATGATGAGCAAACTAAGATGTCAGAGAAGCTAAATCTGTAGATAGTTCTATGTTGCTTAACAACAGGACATATTCTGAGAAGTGCGTCTCTAGGCAACTTCATCATCTTGCAAACATAGAGTGAATGTATTCATCAGTCTAGATGGTGTGAGGCAGTCAACTGGCAAGGCCTCTTGATGCAATCATGAGAAATGGTAGAAACAGGATGTATGATGCTGTAGGCTTAACATGGCACACTGCTTTATAGTCAATTTCTACAAGTAGGAGTATACTCTGAAGTAACAATGAATGTATAGCATAGTGGGCCAGGGATTTAGCTCAGTTCCGCCACCTGCCTTGCAAACACAAGGTCCTGAGTTCAATCCCCAGTACCAAACAAAACAAAAAACAAAAAGTATAGCATAGTAAATATAGAGACCAGTAATTATGTACTGTCAGTAATTTTATGTGCTGTAGTTTGTATGATTGCCAGCTCAGTAGTTTTGTTTACATCTGCCTCCTAGGAAAAACGTGAGTGATGCTGCCTGCTGGGGCATTATGAGGGAATAGAAATTTTTTCAACTCCATTCTAATCTTATGGGACAGCTGTCATGTATTTGATCCATTACTGACAGAAACATTGTTATGTGGCGCATGACTGTATATAATAAAGAGTTCACAAGGACATGAGATAGAAGTTTTTCATTCCATTATTCCAAACTTTTAACTATCATCTCCTTGGCCCATGGGTTTTGATGTTTGTTTGTTTGTTTGTTTGTTTTCAATTCCTGCACTAGCTGGGTGTGGTAACACATGCCTAAAATCTCAGCAACTTAGTGAGACTGTCTCAAAATAAAAAATACAAAGGGCTGGGATGTAGCTCAGTGGTAGAGTGCCCCTGGGTTTGATCCCTGTCTTACTTTTCTCATCACTGAGACAAAATATACAACACTCAAAGGAGGAAAGGTATATTTTGGTTCATAGTTTGTAAATGTTTCAGTTCATAGCTAGCTGGCTGGCTCCAAGGCAGGGTGGCATGGCAGAGGGGCATCACAAAGAAAAAACAGGTCATGGTGGGCAGAAGGCAGCAAAGCAGAGAAGCAGCGAAGAAGCAACAAGTTACTGTTGGTGACCCTCTTTCTGTTCCTTATATCCTATCCAGGCTACCCATCCTTAGGGTAGGTAGCAGTCATACCCATGGTTGGGCAGCCTTAATCCTAGCATCACATCATGCATCAATTCCAGTATCACATTCTCAGACCTAACATCATACGTCCTAGCTCCAGCCACCTCCAGAAAGCACCACCTATGACTGGATGAGGCTTTGAGGGGACATCTAGATATAAGCCATAACAATCCTTAATACAGGAAAAAAAAATCTGTATTGTTTTGGATCCATTTTAAATGTCTGAAATTTCAAGCAAACCAGGGGCTCACACCTGTAATCTTAGGACTATGGAAGGCCAGGGAAAGAAAATCTCAAACTTGAATCCAGCCTGGGCAATTTAGTGAAACCCTGGCTAAAAATAAAAGAAATAAAACAGGGCTGGGGATGTAGCCCAGAGCAAAATCCCTCAGTTTTGTCTCCAGTATCTAGGGCCTTGTGCATGCTCACCAAGCACACTACCACTGAGGTACATCCCCAGTCCAGGGGGTTACTTTCTCATTGCTCTTGGATGCTGAGCCTAGTATCCCTGAATGGGGAATACAGTGGCAAAACTGGACCACGTTGGGATTCAGTCAAGATGCACTTGATATGTGAATGTGAGAACCAGGTCACAGTTTGGATGGGGATGGTTACCTTATTGAATACTGCAAGGAAAAAGGATAGGTTTGAAAAAATGCAGTCTTTCCTGGTGTCATTTGTCAGTTGGAGAGGGAAAGGATGTGAGTTCTTAGCAAGGATATAGAAAGATAAAGGTAGGCCCTTGCACAGAGTGAGAGAATGAGACTCTAATTTGTTGTTGTAGACCAGGGGTATTCAACCCATGGGCCATGGGCTAGGGAGTCAGTGATCCCTGAGAGAAAGGAATCAAGTGAGTATTCAGGCCACAACATGGCATGGAGTGTGTTGGCAACAAGGGTCAGTGGCAGGTGTGTAAGAGAAAAGGGAACCTTTGTACATTGTTGGTGGGAGTGTGGATTGGAGCTGCCATTATGGAAAATAGTATGGAGGCTCCTAAAGAAATTAAAAATAGCATTAAAAATGATGCAGCCATCCCTCTTCTCGTTATGTACCCAAGGAAAATAAAATCACCGATTCCATAAAGATCTTGGCACTCCTGTGTTCACTGAAGTACTTGTCACAAGAGCCAAGGTATAGAAACAGCCTAGGGGTGTGTGTGTGTGCAAAACAGAATATTATTCAGACTTAGAAGAGAAATATTGTTTTTTGTGTGTATAGTTCTGGGGATTGAGCCCACAGATGGGCTAAGTTCCACTAAGCCACATTCCCCAGGCCCCCCAGAAAGCCTGCCATTTATCATAACATGCATGGACCTGGAGGACATTATGCTAAGTGAAATAAGCTAGACACAAGAATAGTACATGATCATGTACTATTTGTATGTAAATAAAAAAACAAAAGACAAATACACAGAGATAGAAAATAACAGTTATTACCAGGGATAGGATATAGGGCAGGAAATGGAGAGATAAAGGTAAAAGGATGCAAAGTAGCAAATTTGTGAAGGATGAACAAGTCTACGGACCTAAAGTACACAACATGAGGTCTATAGTTAATAATAGTGGATGCTCATACTCTTTAGTGAAATAAATAAGTCACACATGTGTAAATACCAAACAGTGTCTCTGGTGTGAAAAAGTAAAAGTGTAAATAAGATCCAAATGGGGTGGAGGATTTAGCTCAGTGGTTCCGCTCCCTGCCTCACAAGCACAAGGACCTGACTGAGTTCGATCCCGGGTACCAAAAAAAAGATCCAAATGGTATAATTGACAATGTGAAATAGGAAGAAAAGTGCTAAAAGTGTAGGGGAAGTGGGAAGGGTAAAGGAAAGATAATAAGGGAAAAGAAAAAATATGAGAAAAAGAAAAAAATGGAAACAAAGTTTTTGTAAATAGGGAAGGGAGGAGGGGGTGAAGGGAGGGCAGGGTTATGGGGAAAAAAATGAGAACCAGGACCTGTCATGTAAAGGTATAAGATCCCAATGATTACTGTAACTGTACTGTATCCTAAAATGTACCAGTAAACTCAATGAGGAAAAAAAAATAGTGGATGGTATTCAGGATTTTTTTTTTTTTTTTTTTTTTTTTGAGACAGGGTTTCACTGTGTAACTCACTATGTAGCCCAGGTTGCCCTTGAACTGAAGTCATCCTGCCTCAGCCTTCCAAGTGCTGGGATTATAGGTGTATACCACCATCCCCAGCTTGTATTCAGGATTTTTTGCCAAATGGGTAGATTATAACTGCTATTGTGGGGGGGATAATTATGTGAGAGATAGATATGTTAATTTTTCACTGTAGTAACAATTTTACCATATATATCCATCTTGTAATATCATGTATACACAATAAGGTTTATTATAAATAAATATATGCTGCTGAAAAGGTTAGACTCGGGATTTCCATGGGTCAGCAGACCACACTTGGAGTTTGCTGATCTAATGTAGAATTTGAAAAAAAGTTTGCAGAACTAGAGCATATGTTTCCAAACTGAAATGGCTAACTAAATGCCCAACAAAGTGGACAAAAATAGGTCCAGATCAAGCACATTATTATGAAATTATGGAACAGTGAAGACCCAGAGAGACTCCATCTGCTCTGAGAGAGTAAAAATAGGCCAAACCCAAAGGATCACATCTCAGAATGACTTTGTAGTCTAACAGCATTAGAACCTAGAAGCATCAGAACCTAACAATGTCAGCAAAGGTGGGAGGGAAGATGGAGTCTAAGGTACACAGGCAACCCACTAATTAGGAGTTAGTGTGTTACAGTAGGGAGTAAGTTAATAAGTGAAGGCACTTTCAGATAGAGAGTCTCAGTGACTTAATTTCCTATGCGCCCTTTGTTAGGAAGTGACTGAAGGAAGTGCTCCACTAAAACAAGAACATGAACCAGGAAAGAAGAGACCCAGAGGTTGGGTGTGGTGATTCACCTCTGTTGTAATCTCAGCACTCGGGAGGCTGAGACTGAAGGACTACCACAGGTTCAAGGCCAGACTGGGCTACTTAGGGAGACCTGTCTCAAAAAATAAACAAAAAAAGAGACCTTAAATCTAGAAAGCAAAGGAGCAACTCCAGAGGGGGAAAAAAGTGTATCTCCAGAGAGAGGGTAAAGATAACGGCTGTGTCCCAAGCCTAGAGAGTAACCAGAACTGATCAGAGCAGGCAGAGAACCCCAGGACTATGAGATAACTATTAGCCTCCCTAACAGTCTTCTCTTCCACAGCTCATTTTGAGGGTCCCCTTCTTGCTTGCTCTCCCCATATATACAGATTGGAAAGCTGCCCTCCCTTACATTCAGGCCATAGCCTGCCTTCACCTTTCCCTGGGTAGAGGCTTTAACCTGCTGTCATTTCCCATCTGCATCCTCTGCCCCAGCGCCACCCCTGCTGTGGCCCTCCCTACTGGCTGGAGTGACGCCCCGCTTCCCACCCCCAGCAGGTGGCTGGGCAGAAGACCCACCTTGGGGAACATGGTCACCATGCTGCTCAAACACTCCCTGTGCTGCTTCTCCAGTTCCTTCTGTTTGTCCGTCCAGGCCTGCAACCTGAGCCTTTGCTGGCGGTCAATATTTTCCAGGAAGACATCTAGGAGGGCCTTGTAGGAGGTCCTTGTTTCTCCCATGACTTTCACGTGGTTGATCACTGCTTGTCTGGGAAGAGAGAACAATTTAGGAGGCAGAGGGGCCATCTCCTCCTTCCAGAGATGACTCTGTTTTGTGAAATTCTTTGGGGTACAAGAAGAGAAATGAAAGTTGGTGAGGACTGGAGAAAATAGGGAGCAGAGAAGTGGGCAGTGGTACCAAGTTAGGAGCCTCAAGGCTGGGCTGGAAACAAGAAGAAAAAGTCAAGCACATGGGGGGGCACATATTAGGTGAGGTATAGACAGGGTTATAGAAAGTGAGGAAGAAAGGAGGATGCAGGCTTGGAGAGAAAGCCCACTACAAGGAGAGAAACATGTAAATGCCCTGCTTCCCACACCTGCATAAGGTTGCCCAAGGGCCTGAGGCCAGGTGACTTTTGCCTGTCCCCTCCTTCAGGAGGCCTGGTGCAAGCCTAGATAGTTCTCCCTAGCACACTTTGTACCTCTTCTCTCCCACTGGGTTTTGGTTCTGCCCTCATATTGCAGAGGCTGTGGTGAGTGCCAGGTGACTGCCAGGGCACCTACCGGAGGCTCTCAAAGTGTCTGTAGAGAACATATTTCTGGCACAGGCAGTGTAGTCTGTGTGCACTCAGCTCCATGGTGGTGGTGGTGAGCTCTAAGGCCTTGCTGCGCAGGTAATGTGGCAGCCCCAGCTTTGACTCCCCACTCAGGAGTTGGAGGTTCTTCTTCTGGGCCTCCATGTCCATGTGGTACATCTCCTTAGAGGTGACCGGGCACCTCTGCAGAGAGGGCCGGGTTGCCCTTCGGATGGATGTCCTAGTGACAGGAAAGGAGGCAGATTTCTTGGACTTGGTGGGAACACGGCTGGCCCATGGCATCTGAGCACACTTAGTTGAACTCATGGTTGTCTGGTTTCCCAGGCCGGGCTCCTGGTTATGGGAGGACCTGGGCAAGTATGGCGTCCTACTTTGGCAAGCAGATTGGGCCCGGCTTAGGGGTGGCTCTGCCTTCTCCAAGTTCCTGCACCAATTAGTGCTTGTAAAGATCAGCCTCTCAGTGTCTTCCCTCAGTCCTGCTGGCTCCCTCCTCAGGCTCTGTCGTTCCTCTTCTGGCCAGGCCCATGTTTGCTGCTGCTGCCTGGTTGCTGCCTCCATCTCCCACTGCTGCAACTTCTCCTGGTGCTCTTGCTCCAGCAGGACCCACTTTCTCTGCCGCTGCAGCCACATCTCCTCCTCCTGCAGCCACCGCTGCCTCTGCCTCTGCCAGCTGAGTTCCTCTTCCCAGAGCTCCACCTGGCTCTCCAAGGGCACCTCCTCAGAGCTCCCTATGGATAGGTGCTTCCGAAAATGTGGCTTAATTTGGACTCTTTCCTTCTCTGAGAAGTGGTCCCCTTGTTCTTTGTCCCTGTGGATTTGGCCCTCTGCCACCAGTCTTTCTGATTTTGTATCACCTTCTGAGGGTGATAACATAGACTCAAGGATCTCGGTGTCCTTAAACACATCTGTGATGCTCGACTGCATTCTCATGGTGGAGAAAGGCTGGGATGCTGAAGGTGTCACCCCACTGGCAATGGGACTTGAGGAAAGTGAAATCAACTGTTCCTCCTCCCTGGGATCCTGTCGCACTTCCTCCATGACTGTTCCTGTCTGTGGAAGGGTCCTTATCTCAGAGGTGGGCGGGAAGTCAGGAGTCACCTCAGCTGGGTCTCTGGCTGGATTTCTAGCAATCTGAATCTTCTTCAGCTGGAACTCCAGGGCATGCTTCGTCAGGATGAGGTCATGACACTTTGCCCATAGAATTGCTACCCGCTTTAGGAGAGCATCCCTCTGGCTCTCAAGGTCTTGGATGGACTTCTGGAAGTGCAGCCTCTGGCTGCTGAGCTCTTTGGCCATCTCTATTTGCAAGCACTTGTATTTGGTTTCCAGGCTCCTGTTCTCCTTGTGCTGGAGGACCAAGCCCTTGTTGAGATTCTCTACCACAGTGGACATGTATCTGATGGCCTTGACCTCCCCCTTGATGAACATGGTGGAGTACAGGAGCTCCTGCAGCATGGACTTCACCTCGGAGACCTTTGTACAGGTGGCATGCTTGTCCTGGAGCATCTGTTCTGGGCTCAGTGGCTGAAGGTGGGGTGAAGATTTTTGTGGGCTTTTCTCCCTCCAGCCCTGCCAGAAGATGTGTTTGGGCACTGGGAGAGGTGGAGAGGGGGGAAAAAAAAAAAGCAACAAATTCCTATGGATCCCAAGAATTATACTGATTCTCCAGACCCTACTTGGCCAAAATGCTCATCTAATCCTTTGGGGATTTGGCAAAAATAAGGAGCTGAGGATGTCTGTCCCAGAGAACTCTCCTGAGCCTGAGCTTGCAGCACTCACCCTTGGGTCTGCCAGCTCCACAGCACCTGCTGAGCCCAGAGAGGTCACTATAACTTGACTCAGTTCTGTATACTGCTGGCTGGGTGTGGTGGTGCACCCCTGTAGTCCCAGCACTTTGGAGGCTGAGGCAGGAGGACTGTCATGAGTTCAAGGCCAACCTGGGATAAATAGCAAGATCTGTCTCAAACAAACAAAAAACAACTATGCTCTTGACCCTCACATTTTCCTGGGGTAGAATTATTTTTTTAATTCATTACTTTTATTCATAAATTTTAGGTATACAATGTATTGACATTTGGAATTATTTCTCTAGTTGTACCACTTTCCAACCTCAATATCTGTGTTTCGCTGTGCATGTAGAGATCTATCACAGTCTGACAGCCTATTCACCTGTTTTCTTTTCTTTCTTTCTTTCTTTTTTTTTGGGTTTTTTGTTTTTTTTTTTTTTTTTTTTTTTTTTTTTTTTTTTTTTTTTTTTATTTTTGGTTTTTTGTTTTTTGAGACAGAGCCTCACTATGTAGTTGAGACTGACCTGGAACTCACTATGTAGCCTAGGCTGGTCTCAAACTCACAGGATCCTTCTGCCTCAGCCTCCTGAGTCCTCACCTGTTTTCTTTTTAAAAATTACAAATGTTAGCTGAGTGTGATAGCACGTGCCTATAATCCCAGCTCTTGGGGAGACTGAGACAGGAGGAGTGTAAATTCAAGTTCTGCCTAGGCAACTTAGTGAGACCCTCTCTCAAAATAAAGAACTAAATTATGTAATGTATTTAAGTACTTATTTGTTTGGGTTTTTTTTTTGTTGTTGTTGTTGTTTTTTGAGACAGGGTCTAACTACATAGTTGAGACTGACCTGGAACTCACTATGTAGCTCAGGCTGGTCTGGAACTCACAGTGATCCTCCTGACTCAGCTTCCCAAGTGCTGGGATTACAGGTGTACACCACCACGCCTGGTTTAAATCCTTATTTAAATAAGACTTGTTTTCAGAAAAAAAAAATCTGAATAAAAAGGGGTTGGAGATATATGTCAGTGGTAGTGTGGTCCTGGGTTCAGTCCCCCACTACCAAAGGAAGGGAAGGGAAGGGAAGGGAAGGGCAGGGCAGGGCAGAAGGAAAGAAGGCAGGCCAGCCGGCCTAGGGTCTTGACCAGGCTTGGTGCACATGCAATCTCACCACTCTGGGAGGCTGAGGCAGGAGGATCAAAAATTTGAGCCCAGCCTTGGCAACTCAGCAACTTCATAAGATCCTGTCTCACTAAGGGGCATGTATCTCAGGACAAAGGCTGTGGTTTCAATCCCCAGGACCACCAAGTACCACCACCACCACCACAATAACAAAGACTAACATCTTTTTCCATTTGGGAAGAATGTTGCAGGCTTCTTTGATACCCTGATGAAAGCAGCTGACCCTTTCCCCAGGAAAATGTACTAAGCACAGATTGTGTGTGCTGTGTTCAACCCCACTGACAGGCCTCAGTACTTCAAGGGCTGATCATAGGCATAGTCTTCTGCCCTGGACCTACAGTTCATAGGGGGATTATCTTGGCATATGTGTTCACTGAATATTACTGGCAAAAAAAACACAGTGGCTAAATTTGGATGCATGAGGGACTAGAGGAGATCTGGAAATTAAATGATACTGAGATCAATCTAGTATCTAGCTAGTTTTGCCCTTTGGCCCAGTAAGTAGCACCAAGTTTAGATTCTGAGACCAGAACTTGAGTTTGAACTTCATTTTTCCCACTTGCCTTGGCAAATTTCTTAATGTCTCAGTGCCTCAGTTTCCTCATCTGAAAAATGGGACTAATCAGAGCATCTACCTCATAGTATTTAATTAATCTTCCTGCCTCAGCATCCTAAGTAATGGGATTTTAAGTGTGTACCACCATGCCCAGCAGCTACTGTTTATTGAGTCCTGAGCATGTTCCAGGCAAGGCATCAGACACTTCATGCCTTGTGGAAGCCTCCCCAAACCCTACAAGTAGGCACTGTCCTCTTTTTTGTTTGTTTCTTTTCTTTTCTTTTTGACAGTGTTTCCCTAAGTCATTAAGTTGCCCAGTTGGCTCAAACTTGCTGTCCTCCTGCCTCAGCCTTCCACAGTGCTAGGATTACAAGCATGTACCACCATGCCTGGCTCCTTGCCATTTTATGTATAAGGAAACCGAGGCTCAGAGAGATGAAGTAACTTGCCAAGATTTACATAGCCAGAAATTAGAAGAGATGGAAATAAAATTTGTATGACTCCAAAATCCATGCTCTTGAGTAAAACAAACCTAAATGTGGGGCCTGGCTTTGCCAGGAGCTTTCTTGTGGTATCTTTCTCTTCTCTAACCATCACTGTTTTCCTCCACAAAATACAGGAATTAGATAATCTCAGGTCACTTACAGTGTGGATAAAAGTAAAATTCCAAGGTTCAGTCATGTTGTTGACTGACTCCCTTGGTAGTAGCCATGATCAGGAAGAGTCCAGAGGGTCTCTGTTTGAGCTTCACCGAACTTTCTGGCACAGCAGATAGGTTTGGAGTGAGAAAGGGTGTTCCTCAGGCTCTGGCCATAGACTCTAGCCTTCCTGGCCTCTGAGCCTTCTTCCCACAACCCACATCTGGCCCAGCTCCAGGAAGCACCTCCAGGTACATGTCTCCACTTCCTCTGTATCCCCACCCTGAGAGCCAGCTCAGAGCTGCTCAGTGCTTAGCTTGGGTTCAATACGCTGGTCTTCACTCCAGCTCCCAACTTTACTTTCTTTTTACTTTTTGTTTGTTTGTGTGTTTGTTTTGAGACAGGGTCTCACTATGTAACCCAGGCTGGCCTTGAACTCGTGATCCTCCTGTGTCTGCCTCTGGAGTGCTGGGATGCTAGGTGTGTGTCACTACGCCTGACTGTACTTGCTATGAGGGAGAATTGGAAAACCCCCTGCAGATCCAGTCTGTACCTTCTTCCCCTGAAATGGAGTCTGCTACGGTGCCACGCCACACCCTCCCAGGTGCTCCAGGAACCTACTTTGTGACCTTTTCTTTTGTTCCTCAATGACAGTGGAGCAAAGGGAAATGAGAGACTCTATGCCTCCTTTGGTGGTGATGAGGGAGAGAGGTAACACTTTCTCTATTACTTCAATCCATTCATTCAGGGCTTCCTCTTCGTCCTCACTCTTCCTGTTCCTGATCTCGTAGGTCAGACTGTCAACTGGACAAGAAGTGAGAAGTGAGCCAGGCGTGGTGGCGCACGCCTGTAATCCCAGCACTCGGGAGGCTGAGGCAGGAGGATCGCTGTGAGTTCGAGACCAGCCTGGGCTACATAGTGAGTTCCAGGGCAGTCTCAACTACATAGTGAGACCCTGTTACACACACACACACACACGCATGCACACACACAAAAAATAATAAAGTGAGAAGTGCAACCTAAGGGCAGCCTGTCTTCTTGGGAGCCCCAAGCAGCTCTTTAGCTCAGGGGTTATAGCAGTCTAGCTATGTGATATTGGGCATGTCACTTACTCCCCTGCACATTAGTTTTGATTTTCGTTTTGATTATTCATTTCAGTGATACTAAAAATCCACAGCAAACATTTCTCCAAAACTTCGGAGCTTGCTGGGGACTTGTAGTTTCCTTCCCTGTGCAAGCTTTGGGTGAGGATCAAATCAGATAATAACATGTGAAATCATTAATGTGAGGCCTGCCACACAGAAATACACGTTAGACATCGACTTCTGTACTACAAAGTCAGGCACGTGTCTGTCTTGTTACAGCTCTGTGTACCTGTTGCTGTGTCCATCATCTGGACAGTTGAATAAACTAAGAAGAGCCAACAGCTGTCTTAGCTCTTGAGGGGAGCTGAAGACCACTGCACTGAGAATTCCTTGGGTAGTTGCAGGGCGAGCAGGCAGGGTACATCCCCACTTCTTCTGACACTTCGGGATCCCGCACACCTCCCCGCACACAGGCTGTTAGCACTCGGGTCTGAGCGGGGTAATACTTGGCTTTGGGGCTGTGAACCCGTGCTCCGTCCCGAACAGTGGTGCCAGTTGAGTGTGGCTGGCACCCGTGCCTGTGCAGTAAGGTCATTCAGCGCTTAAATGGCTCATATGGGTCTGAATTCGGTTTCTGTCCTGCTGAAAAAGGGCCGGGGATTTAACTCAGTGGTTCTGGTCCCTGCCTCACGAGCGCAAGGACCCAAGTTCAATCCCCGGTACCAAAAAAAAAGAAAACAATTTGAGATATCATAATGGACCTGTGACTAGGCTTCATTATATACTCAGCTAATGTCATGATCTGTTACATTTTGGACATGTTTGCCCTGTGGGGTGAGATGACATTTGTGACACGAGTAGGGGAACGTTTCACCTGGGAAAGAGCCTTGCAGTGTGTCCTTTGCTGTCCCTCTGAGCACTCACACTCCCCTCCCAGCAAAGGCTGACCCAGGGAGAGAAAGGAGGAGACTGAGTGAGCAGGGACCAGTGTCTTAGAGGAAGGGACCCACCCTGAGGGCTGCACCTGGCCTGCGGACTCACCCCAGTCACCCAACCAACGGAGGATTTCATACAGGTGCTTTTCTTTAGTCTTAGCATCTTTGGAGAAGGAAGAAATTTTTTCTAGCAAGATGCATCTCTTCTTGCCCTTTTGCTCCATCTGGTAAGATTTTGTCTTTTCTTTTAAATCATATCCTGATTCTTCCTGGAAGCAGTTGATGACACCATTGACATTGTTCAAGATGTCTGTGAGCTGGGCAGAAATATCCTATGTGGGAGGCAGCAGATTGCATTGCTTAGCAGTGTAGACTATGGAACCAGATGCTTGGACAAATCACTTTTTTCTTTTTTTTTTTTTTTTTTTTTTTTTTTTCAAGTACCAGGGATTGAACTCAGGCCCTTGCGCTTGCGAGGCAGGTGGCAGAACCAGACAAATCACTTATTAACCTCTCTGGGTCTGAGGTTTTGTTTTGTTTTTTGGCAAAGTAGAGATCATTATAGAACTTATATCACAGGGTATTTGTTTCTTGTTTTTTGAGGCAAGTTCTTGCTGTGTAGTTCAGGCTGGCCTTGAACTCACTATGTAGTCTAACTAATGGCAGTCCTGTCTCAGCCTCCGAGTGCTGGGATTATAGATGTGTGCCACCACACCTGGCTTATGGGGTATTTGTAGGGATTAAATTAAATAATTCTTATGAAGTGCATAGAACAGTGCCTGGCACACAGCAAAAGCATTAGCTCTTTTTGTTGTTGTTGTTGTTGTTCCGTGGAATTGAACTCAGGACCTTGCACTTGCCAGGCAGGCCCGGTACCACTGGGCATGTTGGTGCATGCCTGTAATCCCAGCTCCCTGGAGGTTGAGGCAGGAGGATTGATACAGACAGTAGGGTGTGGCAAAGATGCCTGGAGAAATAAGCAGGACCTGTCAATTACAAGATCCCAGGACCCCATATGTAGAACTTCTTGAGAGTTCCCACTATTGTGACTTCACGGTAGCCCATCCTGGTCTCCCAGACCCAGGTTGTACTTTTACTTTTGGCCCAAGTTTGCTCAGTAGATCTAGTTCTTCCCTTAAACCTTCCCTCCTCATTTTCAAATAAACCATTGACACCGTTTTTGGCTTGTCTCATCTAATTCTTTGTTTGAGACAAGAAGGACCTGGAATACTTTTGTTTGGTGAGCCATTTCTAAAGGAACTACCCAACAATAGGATCACCATAAGTTTGAGGCCAGCCTGAGCTACATACTGAGTTTAAGGCCAGCCTGAACTACATGGTGAGATCCTGTCTCAAAATGAAAAAAGTTCATTAAAAATCCACAGCAAGCATTTCAAAATTCAGTACAAGAAACTTTCAGGATCAGTGGCTCAAGTTAAAAATGCACCAGAGGCCCATTATGTACAGGATGAGCCAAACCTTTGGCCATTACTCCTGAATGCTCACAGGACTAAATTGAAGGAATTGTGGCAGCCAAGAATAGACCCTGATTCAAGAAGTCTGAGGGCCAAAGGTTTAGCTCAGTGATGCCACCATCTGCCTCACAAGTGCAAGGTCCTGAGTTCGATCCCTGGTACCAAAATAAAAAAATCTGGGCACCTTCCTGCCCCCTTCAGACCCAGCACAATGGGCCGTACTGGAGTTCCTGCCCACTTACCTGTATAAGGCTTCTCCCTTCCCAGAGTGGCAGGACTTGGCCCACCTTGTAGAAGCCAAGTACAGGTTAATTTGAACTCATGTCTGTCTGAAAAACCAGTTTGCTGAGTGAGTATCCTAGGACACCCCCACCCAAGGACCCAGAAATAAAATCTTGTGTAAACACGAGATCAGTCCCCAGCCTCTACGTTAGCCCCTAATACAAGGGTATTTCTCTTATCTCACGGGTTACCTCCTGAGCCCTAGCGAGCTGGGCAGTCTCAACCCTCGAGATGATGGCCTTCACGGAGGCAGGAGTCAGCAACTATGGGGTGTCATCACCCTCCATTCCAGATTACCATTGGTCCCAAGGTGTCCCTGTTTCTGGTACCCAGGCCCTAGACACACAGTGTTGTGTGCTTTGAAGGGTAAGGGCCCCAGGGTGGCTCCTAGTACCTTCCGCCCAGTCACAGCTCTTCCCTAACTGCCAGATACCAGGTTCCACTGACCCTCTTCCTAGTGACATCATCAGTTTGATTTAAAGATTGGACTTCTTGCCATCATTCTGGCTGGTTATCTAGCTTTTTATCCATTACCCAGTATTATATTTACTTGACCTGGGACTTTTAACAATGTGAAATAGGAAGAAAAGGGCTAAAAGTGTAGGGAAAGTGGGAAGGGTAGGGGAAAGGTAATAAGGGAAAAGAGAAAAATAGGAGAAAATGAAAAAATGGAAATAAAGTGTTTGTAAATGGGGAGGGGTGAAGGGAGGGCAGGGACAAGGGGAAAAAATGAGAACCAATTCCTGTCATGTAAAAGTACAAGATCCCAATGATAAATGTAACTGTACTGTCTACCTAAAATGTACCAATAAACTAAAAGAGGAAAAAAATGTGTTTTCAAGGAGTGTGTAATATAAATGAGTACTTACAGGAAAAAGGTAAAAAAATAAAGTGTTGAATTAAAAAAAAATCATTTAACGTTAAGCTCCCAAACTAAACATTAATGGCTAAAAATAGGAAAAGGCAATGAGGAAAAGTTAGGGTGGGCCCCTGGGAGGGTACAGAGCCTGAGCAGTTTTTTTTTCACTGCATACCCCTTCTGTTTGCACCCGTGCTCCCAGCAATGGGGCTGTTCAGTCACGGACTGAATTCCCCAGACTGTGAGCCATCGCCAACCTTTTCTAAGCTATCTCTCTCAGGTATTTCGTTATAATGAAGAAAACCTGACTTACATACTTTCCCAAAGAGAACTTTTCATTTTTTTAAAAGAGCCAATCAACAACTGTGTAGGAATATGTTTGTGTTTTCCCCAAGGATTGAGGCTTGGTCAACACTGTTACTGAATGTTATTAGTCACGGCAAGAGATCTCTTTAAAACAAATATACTGTTTCCTTTCTTTCCTCCTCCTCCTCCTCCCCCTCC